AAGCCTATAAATACACCTCCTTTCCTTCACAAAAAGATATCCAATTCCTTTGTACATCTAAGCTCAGTATAGAATAGTTCTTTCTTTATATTTTTCATCATGTTTAGTCTCCAAATGAGGAGCTAAACTCTTCCATCTTGGTTTTGCTACTTTGAAGCTTAATGAATTTGTAAGTTGTGAGTTATTTTCTTTAATCTTCTTCCTTGAATATTAATTCTTCCTTTAAAATACTATTTCTATATCAAAGTTGGGGAGTGTTACTAAGATGACAATTAGTTAACATCTTGACATTGGTTATAGTAATAGCTATTTCTTCCTCTATGTTAATATTGGGGAGTGTTACTAAGATGACAATTAGTTAACATCTTGATATTAATCATAGTAGGATTCATATTCTTTAATATTCTTCCTTGAGTATTAATTAATTCCTATTCATATTTCATGTTAATATCTTAAACATTACTTAAAGTATCAACTAGTATTGTTTCTCATATTAATTATTACTAGAATTGATCGGTTAATACGCTTTTTATTAATCCGGTTCTTTCAACGGTAGTAAACTTGGAATATTAATGCATGCATCTCATGGTTAATATGCCAAGGGGAATTAATTATATTGATTAAACCAATAAACCGCTTGTGTTGAGGTTATCAATCTCGATCGTTTTCATCTTAAGTTTATTGCTACTATCAAGTTAATATACGGCGCTTGTTCTATATTGACTCGATAGTAAGTTTTATTAATGAACGCATCTCGTTATTAATAACTAACCTCGATGAACTGGATATACTCCTCGATTGAGTATTCGAGAGGAAGATAGTTAAAGATATAACCGGGATCGACGAACATTTCATTAAGTGGATAAAAGCAAAACCAAGTCCTCATCTCATTGAATTAAACTCATATAGGTTGTTTATCTTAGTGTTTTTAAATCAAACAAATCTAAACCCCCCTTGTTACTACTTATATAAAAGAAAAGTATTCCTTTCCCTGTGGATACGAACCTTACTTCGTTATACTACGTACATTCGTCGTATTGTATTTATTTTGAGTGCACCTCACGACAAGTGCACGTCAATAGACAACTCTTGTATATGCTTACAGGTAACTACATACTAATTGTCTGTTATCGATATTTTGTTTACAAGTTGTGTACAACTTGTGTACAAGAAGCAAAATTGTTTTTATGCACTATTATGTACTTGAGCACTTTCTTTCTTTGTATGGCTGCTCTTTCCGTATTTAAAAGCGTAAACGAGTGAAGCTCAATACCTTTACATGTTGCACTTATAACCAAATGGAGAAAGTATCGCATATAATAATAGTGTAACAACCAATATCAACTCTATTGTCAACAAAGGCGGAGACAGCCTCAAGTTGCTACTGCGAATGTTTGAAGTCTGAACAGACTCCTAGTTCCAATTCATCGCCCTATATTAGAGGTGAGCATGGGACGGTACGAGACAATTTTTAAAAAAAACTTATCCCATTCCAAAGTACGGTTCTTTTAAAAATCAAAGAACCGATACTGTCCCGAATATGTATAGAACTTGTCAGTGCCGATCCTACCTAAACTCGGGCCTGAGGTGAGCTTCATAATTAATAGGCTCTAAACATAGTGATTCTTTGTCATATAGAATCATTAAAATTCAATGATTAAATATCACAAAACCGCAATTCTTAAAATAAAGTCTTGCATTATAGCAAAATGATATTGGATGTATTAAAAACAAAAAACTAATTAAGTATTACTCGTCGAACATTTTTAGATGCAAATGTGTTAATTAAGTCGGCATAATCTATGCTACCAATAAATTCGTTCTTAATTGATAACATAGTTAATTCATTCAACCTTTTTTGTGACATGGTTGAAGATGTACTCTCCGAAGCGACACTTTTATTTGAAATCAAGTACTACATACTTATTAATGTTTCGGCCTGACTTTGAGTTAATGATTCAGCACGTGATTTTGTTTTCCTCTTTTGAAATCGAGACAGAGATTTGAGAGGCATGGTACTAATTACTAAAAAATAAAAAATACATAATTTAGCGGAATCCTTAACAATATGCTCCGTATATTAGTAATTTTCCGTATAAAATACAAAGCATTTAGTTTAATTAATGTGAATTGAGAATTTCATAACTGCAATATTGATAACACTAAATAAAAAACAAGCAAGAATCAACTAGTATTTAAAAATTTACAAATTAATCTATTTGGCATTCACACATGACAAATTAATTATACATCACATTAGCATTTAACATGTCAATATAAAGTAAGATTTTTTTTGAAAATACAAACAAATAACAAAATAAGCAAATAAAAAAACATAGATTGATAGAATTTACTATAGATCTTGGAGTCTAGAAGCCTAGAAATATAAGTCGAATTGCCAAAAAGGAAAAAAAGAATAACTAGAAAATACATATGTATAATACTAATATATATAAAATTTTGGGACCCTAATTTTTACAAATTTTTGGGGACTTGAGGCCCAAGCCTCTCCAGCCTTACATAAGGCACGTTTCTGGAACCTATCCCGTTTCGTACCAATTTTCAGTACGATTCGGTACGGTTCTTCAATACGATTCGATTCCTGAATAATTAACTCTCGCAAAGTAAAAAACTATTTTAGGTTTTAGCTTTAATAAATATCTGTACATAAATTGGAGATAAGGGATTGCATGATTGAAATCAAACATAACTGAAATACAAAACTAGTAGTCAAACTCTAATAAGGAAATGTAACATTCAACTAAACATCAAAAGTGATAGCCAAAATATGATTGTAGATTTATAGGTGAATCAAATTGAGGAGGAACACTGACTTGGAAGTGATGAGGGTTGAAGAAAGACAAGTGGCGAGTGGCGAGTGGCGACAAGGTTCCGGAGGACCCAGTAGAGGTTGCTAACAAAGACTAAACTAGGTTTAAATGTTCCTTATAATAGTTATTACTACTTTAGTAGTACACATAGGGTTTAAGTGTTCCTTAAAATTCAGTACAGTTGTGTTTGAACCCAAAGTTATGAGTAATCAAAGTGTAGATTAATATCTAATATACTATTTTATATAGCCAATATTTCGGTACATTACGGGACAATTCGGTTCAATATGATTTTGGAGCGGTTCTGGGATGGTTCTCACTTAATAACCGGTACTGTACCATATTGTTAAAAAAGTTTGGTACAATACTGTACATTAGTATAGTTTTTTCAGTATGCTCGGTTCTGATACAGTTCGGGACAATTCTCGGTACGGAACGGGAAATCGCATATCCGTGCTCAGCCCTACCCTATATTACCACTCCTGGTTCCAAGTCTTAAAAACAAAGCCAACTGCCTAAGTTAATTTAGAGGCAATGTGCCTTACTCATCTTCTTCACAACACCATTTAGGAAGGACAAGCACCCCAACGGTTCGTCCACGTCACAAAAAATAAACGGAAAAGTACGGAAAATGTACTTGTGGTTGGGCTCGTTTTCCGATAGGGTCATGTGTTTCATTTTTTTATCAAAGTGGTTCATGTGTTTGAATTCCGTTATCACAAGAAGGTCACGCCGTTAAAAACGCCTGAGAAAGACGGTCAATAATAACTCCGATTTTCAAAAAGTGCCCGAAAAATTAAAAGAAAAATATCGGAAGGTGCATCTCAACAAGACAACCTCTAGGCCATCTTTATTTTTTTTGTTTCCATCCACCCTTGTCATCGGAAAGTCCACCGGAAAAGTGATATTAGCAAAATCTTAAAAAATAATTCAAACAGATCCGAAAAATCAAAGGCAAAGGTTGTTTAGATGTCATCTTGACGAGACGCATCTTTCAATGTTTTTCTTTAATTTTCCAGACACTTTTGAAAATCAAAGTCACTATTAACCCTCTTTCTCAAACGTTTTTAAGGGTGTGACCCTCTTGTGATAACGGAATTCAAACATATGAACCACTTTATTAAAAAAATTAAGCACATTACCTTATCTGAAAACGAGTTCAAACACAAATATTTTTTCCATACTTTTCCCAAAAATAAAAATGCAACTAGTAACATGAACAAATAAAAATAATATGACTACTATATTGATTTTCATCAACATGAGTATGATTAATGATTTCACTCTACCTGCTTACCAAGTGAGTGAGTGACCTTTGACAAAGTAACATACGGAGTATAATCCTACACTTCTATAGGCATGGACCGGTTCCGGTTCGGTTCTGGTTCAGGTCCGGTTCGGGCCTCGATTCTATTTTTTTTTTTTTGGCTTTTCCTAGTTAACCCCCAACCCTCCCCCTCACCCCCAAACCAACCCTAACCACCTCAAATGGCCCAAAATACCCAACCCAAACCAAAAACTTAAAAAAAAATCAAAAAAAAAAAATTGGCCCGGCCCGGGCCCGAACCAGCCGGACCGGTTGACCCTTTGAACAGCCATCCCACCAGGCCGGTTGGCCCGAACCGGGCCCAGAACCGGTTCACCGGGCCGGGCCGGGCCCGCACAGTAGCGGACCGGTCCAGTTCCGGGCCGGTTGGCCCGGCCCGAGTCCACCCCTACACTCCTATAGATCAGTTAGGATCATATAAAAGAATTCTGCGTCTATTTGGCAACCTTGTGTTATGGGTTCTCACCCACATTTTTTAACACACTAAAATTTTCACTTCACATTCTAAAATCTAAATGGTTTGACGATGAAAATAATTACGGAGTATAATTGAGGTTACTCTTCAAAGCAAATTGGCTAGAGGACAACTTTATTTTTTTTATGGCTTTGTAACATAAGATTATTCTAGAGATAATTACGGAGCATGGGTAGAGCCAACCAGGAGTAAGAGTTAGGCTAGACTGCAACAAAGAATTTTTACAGATAAAATTTTACATACAAATTTTTACATTAAAAATATAAACAATTTTAAAATTTGGACTTGGCCAAGGCCCGGTTGGCCACCCCTCCACCTCCACGCCTGATACGAAGTATCTTGTTAATTAAGTATATTTTAAATATACATTTTTCATAGATAAGTAGATTTATTAACCTATTCAGGCACAACTTCAGAAAAACATAATAGATCCACGTGATAATAATGGATTATAGATCCACACAACATTTTCGGAAATATTATGTACAAAAGTTGTCATAGCTCACAAAGAAGAACACGACGATTGACCAATGAACAAAAACTATCACCCCCAGAAAAAGAAGAGGGGAAAATAGGATTATTATGAATCTTTGAAAATGATAAACATCGTGAAAAGATGAGTTGTGACATTAGTCAACCAAGCATTCCAGCCCAACTGGTTGTGAGGTTACCGTGCCTAGTGGAAGGTCCCGAGTTCGAAACCCGCTAGACACACAAGAGTTTGAAACTCAATAAAATGAATTTCAGTCCTGATTACTCCAGCCCCCAGTCCCCCTCCTTCAGACACCTGGAGTAAAAAAAAATGTAGTGACATTAATCTAATCTTGGGTAGACCATCAACTTTCCCCCCCGAGCGTCTGAATTATAGCCTCAAGGAGTTTGATTTCATTATCACGTTTTGCTATCTCCTCTTGCTTTGCGCGTAACTCTTCCATGTGCAGCTTGAAAACCTCTGCATGTCCAATGAATAATGAAAATAACTACAATGAACAAAGGCTGTTTATAACTATCATGGGGGAGTGAGAACCCAATCAAACCAAATTACTATCCTTGCATCCTAAATCCATCAGATAACTATCAAGCGTTTTGCAAAAGTGCATGGGAAGACATATCCTAGTCACATGTCATTAAGTCGCCTCATGGAATGCAATTGCTTTGTGATCATTGGCTTAATATAAAATGACATTTATCCTATGTTATCTGATTGCTGGGTATTCACTATTCAGGGCAGGACCTTGCCGATAAATACTCTGACTCGCAGTGTTACATGTTTCTGAGTAACTTGGCGAGTACTCATACTCGGAGTCAGCGGTTTTCTCTACTTTGACAAGGCTGATTCGCAGAATAACTCGGCAGCCAGTAAAAATTGATTTTTGGGGTTTACACTGAAAATTTTATACTAAACTGCGATATTATGAAATTCATTAATAATTAGTTGGTATTTAAAAATTTGAAAAATAAATTTTTAAAATCACTATGGATTTGGGGACATGGAGGATGAAGAAAATGATGATCTCGATTTTCGAACCCAATGAAGATTAGTTTCAGATGAAAGTTTAAAATTAAGTATTATTAGGTGACTGACTTTCTTGGGATTTAAATGTTTACGATTGATGGGATTTTGTTCATGTTTTGGAATTATAAGAGTAACATATTACTAGAATTTTGGGGCATTTATAATTATAAATTGAATTAATACAGGGCCGAGTAATTGGTCCTACGTGCTACTCAGCCCTTGACCAAATTGCCACCGAGTAGCTACTTAACTACTTACCATTTATTAAGATAATGATAGAGCGAAGCTTGTTAATTACTCGCATGTTTTTTTTCATTTCATTTTCATTTACCCCAGTGCCGCAAAGGCTCCCACCTACGGTGGGGTAAGGGGGGGTCGGATGTACGCAGTCTTACCCCTGTACTAAAGCACAGAGAGACTGTTTCCGGATGACCCATGGTGAAAATCGCGTCCAAAATTGCATGGACTGACTGCTGCTCCATAACAAAGAAGCGCAGACAGTTTAGTGAGCCATTTTGCTTTATTCCATCATAATCTCAAGCCAAAAAATAATGAATCTTTGGCTCCATTGCAAATGATGGAAAATGTTAATTACTCGCATGTTGTAAGAACAAAATTGAAATATCATGGAGTGTATACTAACTTCAAGACCACAAATAACAACTTTATGGGACTATAGGAGTCGAATGAGGCCGTATACCGAGGGAAATTACGAGACTACATGAAAGGATCTAGTGAATTTAATTTTTATATTTTGCTTGAGTTGGACATGAAAAAGTTAAGATGTAGTAGTCACAGATAAAGCAATTACACGTTTTGAAATCGCAAGTATCGTAAGCTTTACTTGCATTCTGTGCTTGTAGTGAAAAATTTACAATCCATAGAAAAACTACCATTTAACCTGACCTAATTGTCTATCCTGATCGCAAACACATAGGTGGTACATATTTTCACTCTAGCTAGGCAAGCAAAATTCTCCAGTCAAACAAAAAGACATCCAAGAAGATGAAACCAAAACAAAGTGACAAAACCAGAATTTGTTGGGTGAAGAGCTAAGAAACAATACCTAGGCCCCAAGATTATTTTTCATAGAATTCTCTAGCATGTGCTAACTGTGCTCTAGTGAAAAAGGTAAGAATTGTGTACTTGTGGTGTTCTCAAGCTCTTTTGTGATTTCTTGTGCCCGTAATTCTGCAGCCTTCTGAGACATCTCAGCTTGCCGTTTCTCTGTCCGTGCATGTGCAGCAGTTGATATTGCAGAATCGAGTTCACGTTCTAAAGTCTCTACTCTCTGCTCAAGAACCTATGGATATACAACAAGTGACACTCCTTCAAAGTTCAAACCATCCATGATCCATTTACTAAGTATTCTCACATTGGTACCTCCATTGTGGATTGATCATTGATCTAATCGTTATATGTGTGTGTGCATGTATATATAAACATAAGTAGCTCAAGTATACAATAGGCAAGGTCGCAAGGATGACAATCTTGATAGTTGCTACTCCTGTCCCAATTTAAGGTTCCAAGACACTACTCCTGTGATCAACTTAACTCTCATTTAATATCTGATTTTGTAATAACTTTTTTCTTATTCCAAATTTTGAGTTTAGATTTTAGGGTTCAGTAGAACTGCTGTTTGTTCATATGTAATTTTAATTATGAATACTAATTTAGGTATTACAAAGATTTAACTTTATTGCTACCCATCTATCATAAACCAAACTGATAAGCTACGCTTATGTAGGGTCCGTTTACAGTTCACTAAAAATTATAAACTACGTATGAAGCCAATTAAGGTTATGATAAAAAAATCTATCATCCTGTGTTTTTATGTTAATTAAGCTCTGTATGGTTTGCAGTAAATCTAGCTTCTTCCAACTTTAATTCTAGATTCACTTGTTTCGTTTGTGATGTGATGATACGAACTAGGTTTTAGGGGATTTGGTTCAATTCAGACTTTTGTAGAAACTTAGAATTTGCAAAACACAAATTTGAAGAACTTCCTGATTGGGGCCTTTGGAGATTGGCACACCATATAAGAGTAATAATTTGGTTTTCACATGAAGGAAGCTCCCTCCCAACACTTTTCTATTAGATTCACCAAGGATAACCTAATAGTTTCTATAACCTATATTCATACAGGTTCTCTAGTTTATCAAGTTCACTTGAAACAAACGGGGCTTATTTTTCCAAACAACCATGATAGTGGGATCTTCTGCTTGTCATCCCTAATTTGTTCCGTTTCTCTAACATATTCCAAACTCATTGCGTCATAAATCTAAATCCCAATCTAAATAATCGATCATATCCAAAACAGAGTCAAATAAAAAATTCAGGCATACAGCCGCTGAAATGAAGAAATAAGATCCGAATCCAGATACGTACTCGGTACCTTGATAGTTCGGGCTTGCTCGGAGGCGAGATGGGCTTTCGAGTAGGTGGCTTCGTCGACATAAACAGCTTTCTTGACAATCAAGTTCTGGAGGGAGTCAAGATTTGACGACATCTCCGACAAATTCGCTATCGCTGCCATCCATCTCTCGCTGCCTTTGCTCTTCTCCTCCATTGCACGTTCTTGATTTCCTAGTGCGACAAGGCCGCCTTTCTTATTCAATTTTTTTGGAAATTATTATTAGCCCCCGAAGTCATATCATAATTAGAACTGCATTTTCAAAAATCAATTAGTTTCCCCCTAAATTTTTATCATTCTCACTATATACACCCCCACGTTAATATTTGTAAAATTAAATTTAATAAACCTCTTAAAGTTCAATGAAAGTTGTATTTAAGATTAATTTTTAAAATATAAAACAATTTATCATCATAATTATAAGTCATTGTTGATGATCATTTGTTTTCTACGTAACTACTTGATCGTGTAGTAACAATTAATGAGAGTAGTTAAGGGGAAGATTCACGAGTCATATTCATGGGATACATAAAAAGAATTGTTTATTAAATGTGTTATCAAAATTCTAGGCATTTCTTCATTATGAATATACAAATCTTATTTGTAATTCATTTGGTTGAATTAATCGCAATGACATTTCTTTCGTGTGTAGCAAAGAAGAAATACTAAGATTTTGTTATCATTCCATGACCTAAAATATAGGTTTAATATCAATAAGAGACCTAAAAGACAAAATGTGTGATGATTATTCCAATTATTCCATGATCTGAATAATTGAAAGCAGTTAATCTAAGACCTAATTTGTGTTTTAAATTTTTTATTAACTACGATCAACAACAATGACTTATAATTATGATACTGATTTGTGTTTTACATTAAAAATTAATTTTATAGACATTTTAAATTGAATTTAAGAATTATATTAAATTTAAATTTAACAAATATTAACGTGAGAGGGCAAAGAACGAGAATGATCCAAACTGAGGGGGTAAGTAATTGATTTTTTAAAATGCAAGGTTGCATTAATAATTATGATATAACCACAGGGGATTAATAGTTAATTTCCCTTTTTTTGATGGTTTATTCAAAAATTTATGAAATTTTGGTTTGACTATATTGATTTATGAAAAAATTAAATTTGAAATATATTTTATTAATAAAATAAAGAAAAAGTTATAAGTAAAAATAGCTAAAATTATAATCTGCAGTAACTTCAGTCGAAACAATCAGAAAAGTAACTTCAATCTTATTTTTTCTTATTATTACACATTTCAGCGCACGAAATCAAAAGTTACGTGTTTGGTGAAAAATTTGACTGATAAGCCAAACAACAATGTTACCAAAGAGGCTCTAATTTTTTTTTGCTAGAAGAGTTTACGGTTGAAATTGTAGTCATCTTATTACGGTTGAAATTTTAATCTTGCACAATTGAAAATTAAAATCACCCCAATTAAGTAATTTAACCTCCATGATAAGCTGTCGGGACTATTTGATTTTTTTATTGCTAAATGGGGAAGACAAAACAAGTAACATTATCAACCTTCGCCCAAAGTTCTCTCCTGAAGTCAGCTCCCAAGTCCGAGGTAATAGGAATAAAATAACATACATTCAAGAAACATTATCATCCATTATCTCATATATACTACCTCCGTCCCTTAAAACTTTGTCAAAGTTGATCGGCACGAAGAATAATAAAGTAAAAATTGTGTGGTTGAGATTTGTGCAGAGGAGAGAAAAATAACAGAAACCACAAAATATTTGATTAAAAGGAAAAATGGCAAAGTTTTTTGGGACGTCCCAAAAAGGAAAGATGACAAAGTTTTATGGGACGGATGGAGTATATATACCCGCACGGGTAACTCAGTTGGTCGAGTGGTGGGAAAATTGGACCAAGTGACCGAGGTTCGAAACCCACAGCGGCCGTGTGGAGGTTACATAACCTGAAATAAGGCTGGACCTCTGGTGCGCACGTGTATAAGGCCTATCGCCGCTTTGCTGACTGAGTCACCGTGATTAACCTCCACATCATCCTGTCGGGTCGGGGTAGGGGCCTTGGGATTGGGCATTCAACCTTTTGGACCAAGATGGAGTATATATTAATTCTTTTCTCATACTTCCACTTTGATGAGAAACATGCTTTTGATCTATTATAATATACATCCATCACAATAATGTCGTCATACATGCATTATCTTTTCATAGTAACCACAATTACACAATTATTAGTAATTTTAATAGAACCAAAATTATCAGGGAGAATCCCAAAACAAATGTGGGATCCGTGTATAAAAGAGTGTTCGGAATTGATTCTGCTAATGCTCTTTTCAAAAACAGAAGCAGTTTTTCAAAAGCTGGTCTACCCATCTTGTAAAATGCTGCTTTTAAGAGCAATTTTGAGCAGTCAAAAGTACTTCTCCGATTTCACCAAAACACTCCAATATTGGCTTCTTTCCTGGAAAAGACTTTCACTTTAAAGCTATGATGGAAGTAGACGCCTAATGACTTTATGTGGTCTAATTTCATAAGAGCAGGATATCATAGAAGACTGAATACGGTCTCCATTGTAACTAATTCTCCTGTTTGGAGGAGAATTTGTTCAATGAACTCTACAAATTTCACAAGCAAGTAACTTCGGATTATTAATGCATTGTCTCATGGTTAGTAATCTTAGAGGGATTAATTGTGTTGGTTAAAGCAAAACTGTTGTGTTGAGGTTATCAATCTCAATTGATCTCATCAAGGAGTTAAAGAGTTTAAATGCTACTACTAAGTCAGTATATGAAGGTGTTTTATATTTGAAAATAATAAGAGTTTTAATGAACGGTCTCTTTATTAATAACTACCCTCGATGAATTTGATATACTATTCGATTGAGTATTTGAGAGGGGATACGTTAAAGATATAACCGGGATCAACAAACATATCAACTAGTGGAAAGTAGCAAAACCAAGTCTTTAATCTTAGGGTGAATTCCCTTAATTAATAGGAGTAAAAAAGTTTTGAAATTCCAAAACAGGACTATCATGTATTTTATTCCTTGAATATGAGTAAATTTTTGCCAAGTTTGGCATTACTAGCCTTTAAAATGGCATTTTTTCCAAACTTGGCAGATTACTCTTATTGAGGGAATAAAAAACATGATACTGCTATTTTGGAATTTCAAAACGTTTTTGCTCCTATTCAGAGCAATTTCCATTAATCTTATTAATCTAAACCACATAAGTCATGCATCTTAGTGTTTAATTTATTAAATCAAAACAATCTAAAATCTCCCTTTTTAGTTACATGTTTTATAAAGGAGAAATATTTCTTTCCCTGTGGATACAAACCTTACTTGACTCTAATACGCATAAGTGTTAACTGCTGTCATATACTCCCTCCGTCCCTTAAAGGTTTGCCATGTTTGACCGGCACGTAGAATAATAAAGTAAAAACTATGTGGTAGAAATTTGTGGAGAGGAGAGAGAAATAACAGGAGCTACAAATTGATTTATTAAAAGGGAAAGTGGCAAAGTTTTTAGGACAACCAAAACATTTCTAAATAAGATTTAGATTACTACTACATATTTTACATTTCTACGAACTAAAAACTTAAGATTTAGATTACAGAAAGTACCCTAAATAAGATCAAAACATTGTCAAAGTTTATAAGGGCATCCTCATTGATAGGATTATTAAGAGATTAAATTGGTGACATGACGGTTTTTTTAGAGAACTATCACTGACTGAAGATATAGATTATTTAATGAGATTATTTGCTATAATAATCTAGGATCAAAATATGATTTCAGATTATTTTAAGAATATTTGAAAAGTATATGTAATAGAGATTAATGCAGGAATGAGAAAAAGCGGATTATTTGAAGATCATGATTGAGAGTCATAAACGAATTTCGAGATTATTTAAAAATTAATTACATAGCAATATTTAAATGGTAAGAATCTATGTCTATTATTCCCTAAAATAGGATTGTAGATTATCATTTACCCTTATTTAATTGATTTAACCATAATTATTTGGGAACACCCACACGGCTCCTCTCCGTTTCAGTTTCTCTCCCAGGGATCGCTCCTCTGCCATCTACGTGAGCGATGATGGTCAGAGTTTATGCACCGTGCTCCGCTCTTCTACCGCACATGGCTCTTTCTTCATAGGTGGGAGGTGAATTTAACATCAATGAGGATAGTTCACGTAGTTGCGTCGGTAAATATCTCCTCCTCATCCTCCTCCTCCCCTCTCTCCTACTTGAGTTCTCCTACTTTCTTCTTTTTGCGCGCCTCTATTTTCTTCTTCACAATATCTATTTCTTTTAATGCGATTAAAATATTTTGGATTATTTTTCTCATCATTTGAATTTGAAAAAGATCATCATACGAGCTTGGTCTTGACTATAATTTTGGACTTTTTTAATTTCGTTGATTTAAGAACCGTGATATTCATGTAATTTCCGATTGTATGTTTGTATTTTTAACTATTTTTTATTAGTTCTAGTTGAGGAAATTACACACTTTTGGTGTAATACTTTATTTTCATATTTATTTGTAATTTGTTTAGATTAGGACTTTTCTGAGCTAAACAGGTCAAAGATCATCCAAGGGATCAAGATTGGACCTTAAAAGATCAAGAAAAGTGCAAGGAGGCAAGAAAGATTTCGATTTAGAAAAAATACTCATGTACCCGGTCGGGTATTGCCTATACCCGATCGGGTATTTGCTTGATTCGATTGTCCAAATCAAATCCGGGAACAAATGATCGTGGGAGCAAGATTTCGTTAAGATTTGTCACATACCCGATCGGGTATGCCGACATACCCGATCGGGTATGCCCAGAAAAGTGACTTTCTGAGAAATTTCTTAAGATACCCGGTCGGGTATCCTATATATCCAGTCGGGTATCAGCCCCTGCAGCTCCTAAAAGCCTATAAATACACCCCTTTTCTTCACAATAAAATAACCAATTAACATATACTTCTTAGCTCAGTTTAGACAAGCTCTTTCTTTATACTTTCTTCATGTTTAGTCTCCAAATGAGGAGCTAAACTCTTCCATCTTGGTTTTGCTACTTTGAAGCTTAATGAATTTGTAAGTTGTGAGTTATTCTCTTTAATTTTCTTCCTTGAATATTAATTCTTCCTTTAAATATTATTTCTATATCAATGTTGGGGAGTGTTACTAAGATGACAATTAGTTAACATCTTGATATTAACTATAGTAGGATTCATACTCTTTAATATTCTTCCTT